CGGCGGTGCGCGCAGGATGATCGGGGAAAGGTGTTTGGGGCGCAGATCGCGACGAACGCGATCGCGGAGGGACAGCGCGCGGTGATGATGGCGATGGAGTCCGGAGCGGACTTTGTCGACCTGAACTGCGGGTGTCCGATTCACGAGACGTGGCGTCGTGGGCTGGGTGCGGCGTTGTTAAAGAAGCCGGAGAAATTGGAGCGGTTGGTGAACGGGATCGTGAGCGGGATCGATGGGGCGCCGTTGACGGTGAAGATTCGGTTGGGAATCGAGAGCTCGTCGCCGGCGACGAAAATCGCCGAGCGGTTGGAGAACGCGGGCGCGGCGGCGATCATCGTGCACGGTCGCACGAAGGAACAGAGGTACACGAAGAGCGCGGATTACGACGTGATTCGACAGATTGTGAGCGAGCGAGCGATTCCTGTTATTGGAAACGGTGACGTGTTGACTTGGTATGACGCGCAGCAACGGCTGGATTACAGTGGGTGCGCGGGGATCATGGTGGGCAGAGGAGCGTTAATCAAACCGTGGATATTCAAAGAGTTTAGGGAAAAGAAGGAGTGGGAGCCCACCGCGGAGGATCGCGTCGGTGTCTACTACACGCTACGAAATTACATGCAAGAGGCGTTCGGCGACGACGACTGGGGTCTCAGAAGATACAACGAATTCATGCCCTGGCATCAAGGCTTTTTCTGTAGATATCGCCCGCTTCCCGAAGCTCGCTTCGGCGGGCGTGCCATCGATGACCCACTCTTGCAATCTCGCCTCGGTTTCGCCGTGGATGGTGAGGACGAATCGAATCTCTCGCTGCTCGAACGCCTCTTGCGATGCGAGTCCGAGGACGCGCACAAGGCAATTTCAGACATCTTATGGGAAGCTTCCGATGTCGGCGATGCTCTGGACCGCTTGGAAACGACTGCGAAGACCTCTCTCGATCAGTGGTTGGCCCAAGTCGCATCGGGGGATAAGAGTGCGACGGACGACTCGTATCGCGGATGACTTTCGACGACAGGGCGACGGCGTCTATCTCGTCTACATCTATTTTTTGTTGTAACAAATGAGTGTGTGTACAGTGATACCGGTGACTCTGCAAAGAGTTCCCATCGGTGGATTTCATCGCCGTGCTCGAACACGAACCACACATTCTATCCCGCGAGGTGCTTGTACTAGTGCGCTAGATGTGCATCATGATCTCGGGAGCTAGCTTTCTAGCCTGTGCCGGAAGTGCCTCTCTATACCCACCCTCCGCGGCTAGTCTGTTCAGCATCTCCTGGTCGAAGAGGGACTTCTTTGAGTCATCGTGGCTAAATGGCTGCGACATGGAACGCATGAACGTGCGCGCGACCTGCATCGCCATATCAGTGGATAAATTGAGCACCTCTTCGTGTAAATGAGATGTGATCCACCCTGGAAGCTTCCCTCGTTTGTCTTGAGAGTTGTAGCGCTTGTCCGCAAACACCATGAGACCGTAATCCTTCTTTGAACGGATGACTCGACCAACGCACTGCGCGGCTTGGCGTACGGCATCGAAGGCCAAAAAGTCGCTCTCTTTAATTTGGAACGTCTCTCGCAAGTACTCGAGGCGCGCTCGTAAAATGCGAGAGAGCGTGTATTGGTATGGGACGCCGTACATGACGACGGCCCGTCCGTAGTGCCTGTCAAAGTCGATCCCTTCGGCGACTTTTCCTCGTGCGACGGAGAGAAATATGGCGCCGCGCCCGCAGTTACAGGCGCGACGATAGTTGTCGAGCGCCAACGACGTTTCGACCACATCTGTGGTCTCAATGAAGACAAGTTTGTGTTGCATGATCTCCCGTAAAATGCCAGTCTCATGCCACTTGCTGACAATGTTTTCCATGTATGAATACGACACAAAGAACGCGACGATGCCGTCCGGGACTGTTTGAGCCAAACCAACCAAGATACGACCATAATTCTGAATCACATTCGGATCATCACGGACGTCAAACTTGGTCGACACTGCCTGCTGATCGGCGCCGCGCGTGATTACCATCGGACACAGACATTCGCGCGTGAGCGTCATCTCCAAACTCTTTGCGCATACTGGATTGAATCCGAGGAGTTTCGGATACAAATCAATAGGGCTCAACGTTCCGGACGTGATAAACACCGATTGGAAACGCTCGAATACGGGTTTGATGGCGAGAGACGCGTCTAAACACGCGAGCTGCAGCACAGGATCGGGAATGTTTGGATATCGCTCGTCGTACGGCTCGAGTATGAGAGCGAAACCCTTGGAATATGTCCCCACGAGCGCAGCAAAGTTCGCCACCAACGACAATGCGTTGTACTCGTCCATGTCGACCACCTCGAGCGTCTTCAACAGACTCGTCAGGCGATCGTAACAAAACTTAAGCGTCTTGCCATCGATGCCCGCGTTTGCGGCGCAGTGCTGCAGGAACGCCGTTGGCGTCTCCTGCTCAACCTGCGTCGACTGCAGGCGAAACTTGAGGTACTCCACGAATCTCTTCAGCACTGCGACGAAGTGCTCGGCGCGACGGATGTTCCCCGGCACCGCCTCACGCAGGATGTCGTCAGGGATGACTGGGTTCATCAGCATGTCCTCTCCACCGCCTCGAGCGAGGACTCCTTGCTGCGCCAGTCCGTTCACCAATCGCTCGTATTCCTGTCGAAGTCTTCGTTCATCGGTCTGCTTTGCCTTGTCGATGCGCGCATTGAGCGACGTGATCGATCGCCCCGCGTTCTCTAGCGTCTGCTGCCGCAGGTTGACGCTCAGAGCCTCTATGCACACGTTGTCAATGTTGTGCGCCTCGTCGAAGACGACGACACACTCCTTCTCGAGCGCGCTCGACACCAGGCTCGCCACCTTGGGATCGAGCATGTACTGATAGTTGTACACGATAACGTTGGCGAATGAAATCATGTTTCTCGCCAGGAAGTACGGACACCACTTCTTTGCCCGGCCAAACTGCCGCAAATCGTGTAGCGTGTACACCCCCGGCGGGAGCACCGCCTTCTCACCCGCAGTCTCGAACTCCTCAAACCAGTCGCAACACGATACTCCACCCTCGTTATCACCCTCTCCGTCCTCCGCGGCGACCGTGCGACCGGCGTCGCGCGCTTGGCGCTCCAAGCGCCGCTCCCGCACCCAACTTGCCGTCAACCGTCGACACCGCCCGTCCACGCTCTCCCGACTCCCCTCGTCCGCCACAGCCGGGTTCACGCACATATTCTTACGACTTGACAACCCGAGCGACAACATCCGCGCCGTCTCCGCCCCCAGCTCCTTCTCGATGTACGCCTGCAGCGCCTTCATCTCCTCAAGCACCTTTTCCATCTCCGGCACCGTACGCGTGCAATAGATAATCTTCCCAACCTCCGGATGCGCCAACTGATACGAGACGCACATCGACAACACCGTGATCGTCTTCCCCGTGCCCGTCGGCATTTCCACCGCGCCGTGTCCTCGAGCGTCCAGCGCGCGTTTCATCTCTCGCATGTACGCGACCTTCGCGATCGACCGAACGCGCGCGCTTCTCGTCAGTCTGCGCGTCCGAGCCAACGCTCGCGGTCGCGGTGAACGCTCGCGTCATTATTAACCCACCTGTTCGGGGTAGACGCTGTCGTACGGGAAGAAAACCTCGATCGGGGCGCTCCCGCCGTCGTCGATGGTGAACCGCATGGGAACGTCGTCTCAACCCGTGCGCGCGTCGACGCCTCGTTCACGCCGCGAACGCGATCGAAACGTCGCGTCGATCGTCTCTCGTCGGATTCCAACCCTCGACGTCGACGAGACGCGACGTCCGTCGCGCTGTGCGGCGATTCCAACGCTAATTCGTCCAAGCACCAACCGAACCTCAGAGTGCATCGAGTTGATTCTATCGACACTCCTCGACGCGCGTCCGCGGTCGATCGGTCGAGGCGTCGGAACGTCTGAGATTTTCACGCGTCGTCGCGCGCGACGGTTGAGCGTGAAACGCGCGCGTGAGAGACGAACGAGAGCGTTGAAGCATGAATTCGCTCGTGATGACTCGGAATCTCTCGAGCGTTCAACTTGAGCGCGTGCGCGTCGATGACGGGCGGGAGGGACGCGGGCGCGGGTTGATTTCGCGCGATGCCGAACGCACGCGCCGCGAGGCGCGGTTAAGGGCGGTCGTGCGCGTTAAAGCGATGCGGATGGAGGGAGGCGAGCGGACGCGGGCGAAGCTTCGGAGACGCGAACGCGCGAGCGTGATCGTCGAGTCGAGTGAACGCGAAATGGTGGTCCTCGCGAACGCGTCGACGGTGAAAAAACCGCGACTACCGGCGCTAGATTCGATCAGATTCTTTTTGATCGCGTACATAGGCGTCGGGCACTTCATCGCGTGCGCGACGAAGAACTCGCTCGCGCTCGCGGCTCTCGGGCAGGTGAACGTGGTCGTCGGGGCGTTTTTCGTCCTAAGCGGCTACGTCGCCGCGTACACGACTACGGCGTTGGGATCTTACGAGGCCGAGATGTCGCGGTTGCGTCCGAGTCCGCAGTATGTCGTCAGTCGTGTCATGGGCTTTTACCCGCTGTACTTTTTGGTCAACTGCGTCTTCGCGCCGATGTTCTTCTACGCCGATTCGTTTTATAATGGTCCGGTCGCGGCCGCCGCGCACGGTTTGATGACATTCACGCTCACACAGGCTTGGTTTCCCATGCACGCCGAACTTTGGAACGCGCCTTCGTGGTTTTTGAGCGCGCTCACGTTCGCCTTGGCGGCGATGCCCTTCGCGCTGCCGTCCATCGCACAGATGAAGCGCGAGCATCTGAACCGCACGTTCAAGGTCTTGCTAATCGTCTCTCTCTTGGCAAAACTAGCGTACTCTTACGATTTGAACGCGTGGGGGTTCATGGAGGGCGTCATGTCTGCCAAGACTCACCCGAACTGGTTGTACTTTAATTCTGTGCGATTCTCTCCCTTCAACGCGTTGGTCGACGTCTTGATGGGAGCTGTCGCCGCGAGAACGGTCATGGTGGACGATGCCGAGGGCGAGTGCGCGCTGAAACAAAACAAAATAATGGCGTGCTCGGCGACGCCACTCGTCGCCATGGTCGGTTTCCTCGCAGCTCGAGCGCTCGGCTTTGTCGCCGTGAACGACGCGCTGTCTCGAACCATCTTCACTGTGATGTTTTCCATGTTCGCGGTGAATATTCATCGAGAGACCGTACGTGATGGCGGTGCTGGGTCGTTAGTGTCCAGGGCTTTTGCCTGGAAACCGCTCGTGTACCTCGGTACGATTTCGTTCCCGATTTACATCTTGCACGGACCCATCGGTCAAGTTTTCTACAAGCGCGTCGTGGCGACCAAGCTCTTCGGCAAGGTGTTCACGCAGTACCCGCAATTCTTCCCGGTGTACGTGCTCATCGTTCTCGTCGCGGCCGCGATTACGCACGAGGTGTTCATAAAAAACCACAAGGTGCAAAAGATGTCGAAGGCAGTCAAGAAGAAGGCTGTCGCGGCATTATCATGAAAATAGTCCCGTGTCGTTTTAGAGGAGGATTTTGTCTTTTCAATCACAACAAACGAAGTTTTCGAAAAACACGAACTAGCTCTTATCGGTTTCAAGCAATCGCCTAACGCGATGCTCCCCCGGGTCTCGACGCACTCGAAGCGCGCTTGGACCAGCACCCCCAGGAAATAACTCTGACGACCATCAAATTTATTCCTCATCCGCGTCGTCCGCGATGTTGAAGTATCTCAACTCGTAGACGTTACGATCCTTGGAGGACGCGATGACGCGCAACCAATCGCGAACATTGTGCTTCTTGAGGTACTTCTTCGTGAGGTACTTCATGTAGCGCTTGCTCATGGCAATCTCGCTCGTCACCGTGACCTTCGTCTTGTCGCTCGTCACCGTGACCGCCTCGCCGAGCGCGCCAGCCCGACCGCCGACCTTGATGCGCTCCGAGAGGAAAGCGGTGAACGAGCCGATCTCCATGATCTTGTCCTCGACCTACGCATCAAGAACCAGGCACAAAGTCAGTCTCTCGATCGCGTATCGTCTCCTCGCACGCATGTTGTCTTCTCGCGGAGCTCTAGGGCTTTGTCAGCCATCGCACGCACCGGCTTCGCGCAGTCGATGACGAAGGTGGACACCTTCTTCTTGTTATCTACGGGCGAAAAAAATGTCAAACCAATTGTCAGTGTCGAGTACCTTGAGCGATCGCATCACGCGGCGCGGCGCGCGCGCTCGAGGCGCCGCGAGCGTCGACGGAGACCGACGCGCGTCCACTCGAGCCATTCGCGCCATCGCGCGTCTTTCATCGCCGCCGACGCCTTTCATAGCGTTCGATGACGCGATCAGACGATGAACGTACCCTTGGGGGCCATGTTTGCGTTCGGACGACGGGGTGCTGTCGCGAAACGCGCTGACGAGAGGCGGATGCGAGGCGCCGGGGAGGGCTTTTCGCTCGAAGGAATGTTTTGTTTACATTGGTGGCGTATCATGGATGCACAGCGGCTCTGCGTCTCCTCGTCGCCTCGGACTCGAGTCGGCGCACGACGGCGATGGCGTTTTTGGAATTCTTGTGCACGGCGAACATGCAGTCGAGAGAGAATGCCTCGGCGTCGAAGACGTCGTCCACGACGGCGCGGGCGACGGGGGAGGAGGAGAACTCGTTTGCGAGCGCGCGCGCTGACGACGAGTCGCCGGCGGCTCGAAGCGCGTCGACGGCGCATCGAGCGCGCACTCTCGCATCTCTAAAGTCCGCCAGGGGTTTGCACTTGACGTATAGCGTCGGGTCGACGTCTCGAGGGACGAAGATTGGTATTTTCTCGATTCGAGCAATGAAGCATCGACTGTGATTGGACACTCGTCGAGGCTTCCAATCGAAATTTTCCATCACTCGCCAAGGAATCACCGCGAACGACGTCGGCGGCGCGCACGCGTCGCAGTACACGAACCCGTCGTACTCACATCGTTGATACGACCTAAAAGGCCGAAACGCGTCCGTGAGCACGCGCAGAGCGTTCCCTCGTTCAGGAACCCGAAGCTTGCTTGAGCACCCAGCGCAACGACGTCGCTGCCGCTCCAACTGTTCGTCCAGCGTCAACAGCTTTAACACGCTCGGCGGTGTCACGTGCACGGACATACTCACCGACGGCTCCCCGTGATCGATCTCGTCGTTCTCCAACACATCCGTCATGTCGTCTAAGACGTCGTCCGTCTCGGAATCCGACCCGCGCCTCCGCGCGTTCGTCCGTCGTTCCGCGTCCACCCCAACCCCGCGCTCGATGTTCATCCCTTTCAGCACCGCCGAGACGGTGGTATCGACCAGACCTCTCCCCTGACCGACCACGCGCGTGCCAACGTCCAGCGCCCGCGTGCCCACCTCTCGAGACGACCACAAGAGCGCGCTCGGGAGCTGCCCGAGCGCCGAAGCCATCTCCAGCGCGCGCTCCGTCGCCGCGCTCGACGGATTCATCGTGGACGACGACGACGACGACGACGACGACGACGACGACCGCTCCGTCGCGTCGCCCGCGGACGACATGACGCGCGTCGACGCGTGACGCGATGTCCTCATCGCGCGCGCCAACGAACTCGCGTCGACGCGCGAGCCGCACACCTCCGCGACGCCCGTGGTCGCGTCGCGCGCGTCATGGGTGCGTCGATGGACGACGCGCGATGCGCGCGATCTCGAGCGCGATCGATCCCGCGCAGAGACGGAACGAGCGACGGTCGAGACGTTCGAGGCGCGGCGATTGGATTTTTGAAACGCGCGCGGCGCGGTGACTCGACTGACGAGGGGTCACATCGCGCGCATCGCAGCCGAGGACGCGCCCACGCCGTCGGTGCCGAGGGAAGACGAACCCAAGGCGGCGGAACCTTCGGCGGAGGACTCGAACGAGCGCGGGGAGAGCGTCAAGGCGTACTTGGAGGAGACGGTGAGCAAGACGCTGCACGACGGCATGATGCGGCTCGCGAACGAGCGCCCGAGCGCGCCGTTGAAGTTTTTGGGGGAGTATCTGCTCGAGAAATCGAGAGAGCGCGGTGAGTAGGCGCGCGCGAGCGTCGCGCGCGAGCGTCGCGCGCGACGTCGACGCGGACGCCGGTCTCCCGGCCGTCGCACGCGCTGGAGGCGACGATTATTTAATAGTGAAATACCCCTCGTCGTCGCATACCGTTTGATGGCCTTACGAAGGACTACAGATCGACATGTGGCCTTCGTGGGGACGGCACGCGCTGTGACCGCGTGCGTCGATAAACATTTATCACGAATGTTTCGGACACGTGACTCATATTCGCGAGCTCATGACGCTATCTGGTGGTCGCGGGTTCGAACCCCGTCACGGACACGATCGTCGTTGTCCGTGTATATCAGTGGAAGATTCCCAGACTTCTATATAATTCTTCTTTTAGTCGATCAAGAAAATTATACCTATCCACGAGTCGTGAACCGTCGAGAAGTATATTTGAGGCCAAGAGCATCAATTCACGCTCGGACTTTTTGTGTGGACGCCTCGACGACGCCGCGGCGACCGCAGACCTCGCGCGCGCGTCGCGGACGCGCGCACGATCGCGCGCGCGCGCCGAGAGGGTTGTCTTTTCGATCGCGTCGCGAAGGAGCCGAACGCGCGCGTCGTGCGAGCTTTGAGACGATGACGAGCGCGCGTCGAACGATGGGTGTTGAAGACGATGAAGACGCCACGACGACGGGTCGGGGCGCGCGTTCTTCGACGCTATCGCTCGTGGCGATGAGCGCGATGGCGATGCTCGCGTCGGGGGCGGCCACGGTGGGCGTGCGCAGGGTGATCGATGCGCGAGGGGTCGGGACGGGGGGACGGGGGACGTCCCTCGCCGCGCTGGGGCAGCGCATGGACGCCGCGTGGACGGAGGCGGACGTGCTGGACAACGCGACCAATACGGCGGCGGCCGACCACGGGTTCGTGTCGTTTGAAAAACAACGCGACTTTGAGAGCCGACCGTGGTCCTGGGACGAGACGGTGACGTGCGACGGGACGCAGATCACGGACGTGGATTTTGACTTCGACGCCGTCGAACCGGGTCGAGTGAAGCTTTGGAGAAACTCGAGCTTTGGTTTCAACTACTGGCGCACGCCGAGGAGTCGACATTTTCAAATTTACGATACGATGATGATTCGCAACGCGTATTGTAAGGCTGGGCAGTACCAGCTGAACATTGTCTGCTCGATGGACTCGCACGACTCGTGCGAGTTCGCTCGAGAGCACTACATGTTGGGAGCGCTAAAGTATCCGCAGCCCAAAGAGAGACACCTCGGATCTGGATTGTTTTTCTGCGACAAGAGAACGGTGGATCGGATGCACTTTAAGCTGATGTCAATGTGCGGAGCGCGAGCGAACATCGAGTTCAATCGCATCTCAAATCTCGCCGCGGCTTCCAGAGAGGCAAAAAACAAATTCGGTTGGCAATTTTCACACATTTGGTATGTCGATCCCGAAGACTTTGAGCTCGGTCTGATACATAATCGCTTGTTCGATCCCGCCATGGCGGCCGCGTTCGAGGACAAGATGCGTCTCCAGTGCTACAAGGACGGAGACGCCCTTCGCGCCAACAACTGCCAGGACGGCGTCGCGGTAGAACCAAGGCGCGTGTTCAACACGCGTATATTCGGCGGTAGTCCGTGGGCGGTGGGCGAAATGCATCGCCTGTTGACGTACTTCGTCCCCGAATTTGTGCCGTTAAGGGGTAGGATCAGCGACTGGTCGTTCGACAACGGGCTCCTGCGGAGGTGGAACTGGTTCCGACCGTACGGGTGCGCGTGCCCCTCGGACGAAGAGTTGTTGACGCAGTACGCGCATTCAAGGAATAAAGGATTCACCAAGCATTTGGCATTCGAGAACCAAGTGACGGCTGGCGTCGCCACTCCACTGGCGCACGAGTACGGCTCTTGTCACTGGGTCGATTTCGACGGTGACATGGGAAAACTGTTGGAATGAGTACTTGTAGTGTTTGCAAAGAAAGTAGATTTAGATCACAATCATTAAAATTTCCCTGGATATGACGCCGACGAACACATACCATCCATCGGGCCTCGCTATCCCGTGTTCTGCATCCCCGCCGCGATGCCTTTCATCGTGATCTTCAACACGTCGTTCACCGCTCCCTTGTAGTTGAAGTCTTGGAACGGGTATCCCTCCAGCATGGTGATCTTCACTTTTCGCATGCTCAATTTTTCACCGTCTTCCTCGTGCTCGAGCGCGCGCGCTTGCTTGAGGAATCGGACCTGACACACATTCAGAGGTGTGATATACAGGTTGCGCTTCTCGAGCTTGTGCTTCAACTTCTGCTGCATCCTTCGAGCTTCGTTCGCGTTCTCCTCTGTTTTCTCGGGTTGGACGAGCAAGCCAATGTGCTCGGAGACGGTCAGAATGACATCGATGCTCGATTCAAGCTCCCCGCGAAGCTTGGCGCCAAAATCGTGCAAAGATTCATCGACAAGGGCCTTTTCGTAGTACGCGACGACGACGGGATCCGCCTTGGCGAGAACCATCTCCACGAGATCAATAGTCACCTCAAAGAAAGGCCATCTTTTGTACATATCTCGAAGTGTCTGAAGCTCGCCCTCTTCGATGAGACGCTTAAACGAAGCAGAGATTCCAAGCCAAACGGGAAGATGAAATCGCGACTGCGTCCAGGCGAAAATCCATGGGATGGCTCGAAGTGCGGTGACGCCCGCGTTCGGTTTGCGCTTCGCTGGTCGAGAACCAATGTTCAACGAACCGAGTTCTGAGCCCGGCGTGGCTTGCGCAAAGTACTGCACAAACTCCGGCGTCTCGAACACCGTTTTCCTATAGTGTGCGCACGAATACTCGCTCATCCTATCCATCACTGCACGCCACTTATCGTCAGGATGCGACGGCGGCTTGAGCGAGTGCTCCAACACGGATGCCGTGTACAAGTCGAGGGTGTGGAAGCAATTTTCCCTCTCGCCGAAATCCGATTCGATCACCTCACCCTGAACAGTGACTCTAATGCTCCCATTCACGGTTCCGGGAGGTTGTGAGAGCATGGCAATGTGTGCCGGGCCACCACCACGGCCAACCGTGCCGCCACGACCATGGAACAGAGTCATGGCAACGTTGAACTCGTTCCCCGCCGCCACGACGCGCTCCTGTCCCTCGTAGAGCGCCCAAGCAGCGGCCATTCGTCCTGCATCTTTGCCACTATCGGAATAACCGATCATAACCTCTTGGAAGCCGTTGATATGGTCCAAATACCATTTCACTGAGAAGAGCTGCCGCAAAACTCTTGGGGCGTCGTTCAAGTCATCGAGGCGCTCGAAGAGTGGAGCGACTCGGAGAACATCCTTTTCTCTACAACCACACTCTCGCTGCAGTAAAACTACTGCGAGCACGTCGCTAGCGCTCGTCGCCATGGAAATTACGTAGGTACCGAGCGAACCCGGGCAGGTTTGTTGAAGGTGCGCAATCATCTTGCAGGTGTCCAGAACCTCACGAACATCAGCTGAGCACTCGAGGTCGTGCGGAATGAGCGGACGCTTGCTCATCAGTTCGCTCGTCAACCACTCTATCTTTTGATCTTCGCTCCATTCGATGTAAGAACCGAGACCGATGTATCGCGTCACAGCATCCAATGCCTCGGCGTGACGATCGGATTCCTGTCGAATGTCCAATTTCACGAGGCCCAGGCCGAAGCACTGCACCTGACGAATGACATCGAGCAGTAATGAGTTGGCAATCTGATCGTCCTTGACCTCGATGAGAGACTCGTAACACGCCACGAGAGGCTCGTAAATCTCTTCTTTCGTTCGAATGATGCTGTCGTCGTTCACGTCGATGCTCACGTTCGGATCTGTGACGCATTTTTGCAGCGCCTCTCGCGTGTTGTAGAGTTTGTCGCGAAGCATGGCCAAAATGACTCGATACGGCTCGTGCTCCGGGATGGCTTTCCAAAAGTCATCGTAGTTTCGTCTCTTTCTTTCTTCGAAAATCGCATTTTTGTCCGTCTCCGAGGTTGCTAAGATATCATTAGCCAGCCTCTTCACCGTATCGTTGCAGCGCCACATGGACAACTCAAAGAGCAATTTTTGGATCGTGGAGAAGAGGAAGTTTGTCCCCTGGACGCGGGCGAGAAGGACGACGTCCCGAGTGCATTCAGAGGTCACGAATGGGTTACCGTCCCGATCACCTCCCATCCAGGACCCGAACGTCACGATTGATCGATCGAGCGGTAATCGACCGCAGCCGTTGGCCAGGAGCGCGGTGTCGACGCGACGCATGAAGGTCGGCACGCAATCCCAGATGGTTTGCTGAAAGTACGTCAACCCAGCGCGCATCTCATCCTGTGGCTTGGGTGGAGTGCGACGGATCTCATCCGTTCGCCAAGCCGCAGCGATGTTTGAGCGAATTTCATCCAAAATTTCAGCCCGTTCGAAGCGTGAGAGACGGAATCGTTGGAGCTGCAGCAGCTTCTCACGAACCTTCCCGAAAGCTTTCAGCATGGATCGCCTAAGTGCCTGCGTCGGATGCGCGGTGAGAACTAGGTCAACGTGTTGCCTTGACAACGCGGCGTAGATCTCCTCTATCGTTTTTCCCGATCGAATCAAACCCTTGATTGCGCCGTTTGTCGATTTCGCCGGCCCTCGTGGGATGTCGTCCAATCTCTTATGTCTTTCCTCCATCGCGTTCGCCACTTGCTCGGAGATGTTGTGCAAGTTTAAGAGATTCGAGTACGCCGACGCAAACTGTAACGATTCATCCACCTCCATCGTCTCCAGCAGCTTCTTCATCGCCTCAAAGTCCTTCGGCTCCCCAGTCTTACCGAACGCTTCGCTCCCGTCGTACACCCCCTGCAGCTTGGCCAAAAACTCCTCGCTCGTCGTCTCTCTCACCACGGAGAAGAATATCGTCTGCAACAACGCATCACACTCCTCGATCACATCGTGCGCGTTGAAATCCTTCGTCTCACCGCGTCCCGAGAGATAACTCGACGTCGTCGCCAGCTTTTCCAGCGCCTCGCCCTCCTCGCTCGCGAACAGCGACCCTTGCCTGCGATGACTCACCCCGTGCGTCGCCATCGACCTCGACTTCCCATCGGGCGAGAGCACCGCTTGACGCATCGTCGTCCCGCCCCACGATCACGTCCACGCGCGCGCGACGGACCCGCGGCGTCGTTCACCACCGCGTCCGCGTCCGATCCTCCCGCGCGGTCGTTTCGTTCGCGACGTGAATGAATCCGCGCCCTCTCGACCACGGTCGCGCCGAGTTGAATCGCACACGCGGCGACGTCCACGGGGGCGCGCGAGCGATCGACTCGGGCGCTCGGACGCGCGCGCGATCGAGCGTCGCGGTGCGTCGCGCCCGTCGGCGTCGCGCCCGTCGGCGGGTAGGTTAAAACACCCGCGTGCCCGGTCGACGCTGGCACCACACACGCGGGTGTTTCGGTCGATGCTGGCACACACGCGGGTGTTTTGGTCGACGCTGGCACACACACGCGGGTGTGTGCGCGCGTCGGTCGAAAACACCCGCGTGTACGGGCGAACCCTACGGCCATCGCCCGACCCCGCGCGCGACCGCGCGACGCGACGCGACGCGACGACGACGACGACGACGGGGGCGATGACGACGACGACGATGCGCGCGACGACCGCGCGCGTGGGGATGGTGCGATCGGCCACGCGCGGACTCGGCGGTGGAGACCGACGTCGAGGACGCGATGGGACGACCGCGCGGAGCGAACCGAAGAAACTGTGGGGCGGACGATTCAGCGAGCGGCAAGATCCGCGCATGGAGAAGTTTAATGAATCGCTCTCGTTCGACCGGAAGATGTGGCGGGAGGACGTGGAGGGGTCGATCGGGTACGTCGGGGCGCTCGCGCGGGCGGGCGTGGTGACGGCGAGCGAGCGGGACGCCGTCGTGAAGGGATTGAAGGCGGTTGGGGAGGAGTGGGCGGCCGGGACGTTTGAACCGAAGGATGGTGATGAAGATATACACACGGCGAACGAGCGTCGGTTGACGGAGCTCATCGGGGACGTCGCGGGGAAGTTGCACACGGGACGGTCGAGGAACGACCAAGTGGCGACGGATACGCGGATGTGGCTTCGAGCGCAGCTCGTAGAGCTCCGAGGACACTTGCGAACGCTCATCGAGATCGCGGTTGATCGCGCCGAGCGTGAGGTGGACGTGGTCATGCCTGGATTCACGCACTTGCAGAGCGCGCAAACCGTGCGGTGGTCGCACTGGCTCTTGTCGCACGCGGCGGCGTGGCAGCGGGACGACCAGCGTCTCGGAGATTTGATCAAGCGCGTGAACGTCATGCCCTTGGGCTCGGGGGCACTCGCGGGGAATCCGTTCGGGATCGATCGTCAGCAGTTGGCGCGAGATTTGGGTTTCGACGACGTCTGTCCAAACTCCATGGATGCCGTGAGCGATCGAGACTACATCGCCGAGACGAGCTTCTGGGCCTCCATGACGGCCACGCACCTCTCTAGATGGAGCGAGGACTTAATCGTGTACTGCTCGCAGCAGTTCGGTATGGTGAAATGCTCTGATGCGTACTCCACCGGGTCGTCGCTCATGCCGCAGAAGAAGAACCCAGACGCGCTCGAGCTTTTGCGCGGGAAGAGCGGGACGCAAATTGGTTCCCTCATGGCCGTGCTGGCCACCATCAAGGGTACGCCCACGACTTACAACAAGGATCTTCAAGAGGTCTGGCACTCGATGTACTACACCGTGGACAACATGAGCGACTCGCTGCAGATTGCCGCCGGGTGCCTGGCGACGCTTAAGATTTTTCCCGACGCCATGGAGTCCGGTTTGTGTGCCGAGATGCTCGCGACGGACCTCGCCGAGTACCTCGTTCGCAAAGGTGTGCCGTTCCGCGAGACCCACCACATCTCCGGCGCCGCCGTCAAGCTCAGCGAAGAGCGTGGCGTGCCGCTCTCCACGCTCACTCTCGAGGACCTCAAGCCCCTCTGCCCGGCTTTCGAACCCGACGTCGCCGAGGTCTGGTCCTACGAAAAGTCTGCCGAATCCAGAGACACCGAGGGCGGTACCTCTCGCAGAAGCGTTCTCGAGCAGTGTCAAAAGCTTCGCGCCTACCTCGCCTCGAATTAAACGTTTTTAAGTCACGACCAATTCAATTCATTCGCCTCGGCCACCAACAACCTCTGCGCGTCCATCGATCGTCACTTCGCGCGTCGTCACGCGCGATGCGTCCAACCAAAACGCGATGTGATTCGCTCACATTACGCGCTGTCTTCGTTTCCGCCTTATGCGCCGTCGCGAGGAGCGAGCGCGCGAGCAGAGGCGGTGTCCCGGGCGACGACGCGATGCCTCGCTACGTGGTGCACCTGAGAGAACCGACAGCGATGGACTCGAGTTCGTTAACGCCGACGCGATTGACGACGATGACGGCGAGCGATGGGAAACGATATAGCTGTGCTATTCCTCTGAGAGAGAGTGAGATCGAGAGCGAGTTAGAGGAGGGCGAGGTGGGAGATTTCGTGGAGAGCGATTCGCGCGTGGGACGGAAGCGAGGCGCGAGCGAGGCGACGACGACGACGACGAGCGTGGACGAACACCTGCAACCGCTCGAGGGACGGTGCTTTTATTACAGTAACGGTGATTGGTGGACGTACGAGCTGTGTTATAAAGACCGAGCGTCGCAGTTTCATAGGGAGGGGACGACGCGCGTGAGTTCGTTTTCGCTCGGACGGTTCGACCGAGCGGCGACGGAACGGTTGGAAAGCGAACGGAACGCCACTGGGGATGTTGAGGACGTGGATGACGCTCTTTTGAGCGAAGACCGCCGGTATCACGCGCATGTATTCACGGGAGGGGCGAAGTGCGAGGACGTGGGCGCGGCGTACGAGGACCTCGCTAGAGAGAGCGAGGTCAGATTCGTGTGCGCCGAGGACGGCGGCGAGGGCCTGAGCGCGGTGGAGGAACCGGCGACGTGCAAGTACATCTTAACCTTTAGAACATCCCTGGCGTGCAACGCCAAGGAGCTCCGACCGAACCGTCCGGAAGTCGAGCATATCCAGTGCTCGCTCGTAGAAGACCAAGACCAAGACGACGCGCGGGCGACGTCCGACGACGATGGCGCGCGACGATCGTCCGACGCGCGAGATCGAGAGGAATCCCATCACGCCGTGATGACGGACATTCCGCATCCCAAACCAAACGACCGCGATGAATTGTAACCTCATCATTGCCCGTGCGTTGACTCTTCTCAAACTCCGCCTCCGCCACCCGCGATTCGCGCGCTCGAGCCATCTTGTTTCATCTTCACTTCATCTTTCTCCCACTTTCGTCACATCGCGCCGCGGGACGAGCCCTCCCGCGGCGCGCCCGGGGGCGTGGAATTCATCCCGCCTCCATCACCCGCGCGCGATGGGCGCGATCGACGCGCGCGGGACGGATGAGCGACGCGATGCGTTGGCTTTGAAGACACCGCCGCCGAGCGACCGCGCGTCGCTTCGTGCGCTCGATGACGCGCGCGCGTCGGCTCGGACCGCGCGCGAAACGAGACGCGAAGCCGTGCGCGGGCGAGCGTGGGAGACGGCGCGGGCGCTGGCGCGAAGTGGGCGCGGACGAGACGCTTTGGAGACGCTCGCGCGAACGTCGACCGAGGCGCTGGGAGGGATCTCGGGGAGGATGTGCGCCGAGGGTGAGTGCTTGGAGGCGATGGGAATGACGACCGCGGCGTACGAACGGTTCCGTGCGGCGTGCGGAGACGACGACGGACGGCCGGAGGCGTGGTGCGGGTTGGGCAGGCTGGCGCACGCGAGCGGAGCGTACGACGAGGCGACGAAGTGCTATCGACGCGGGAGAGATCGATTTAAGGAATTGGGAGCGATGGATGAGGCGCGAGAAGCAGATCAGACTCTGGCGGCGGCGTGGACGGATCTCGGGACGACGCACAAGGCGGCTGGGGATGTCGAGCGCGCGCTGGCGACGTACAGAGCCGTCATAGCCGAGCTTCCGTGGTGCGCGGCGGCGGCGTATTATAACCTCGGCGTCTCGCTCGTGGAGTGCGGTCAATTAGTCGAGGCGGAACACGCGTACAGGAGATCCATCGCTGTGGATCCGACGAGAGCGGAGGCGTATTGCAACATCGGCGTCGTTTTCAAAATGATGAGTCGAATGGACGAAGCGGTGGAGGCATACGAGCACTGCTTACGCCTCGCCCCGGACTTTGAGCTCGGCAGGAAGAACTTATCTCTTGTTCTGACGGATCAAGGGACGGAGTTCAAGATGAAGAACTCGCTCTCCGCTGCGATGGCCACGTACGAGCGAGCGCTCACTTACGATTCACTCAACGTTGAGGCATACTACAACCTCGGCGTCGCGTGCGCAGAAGCCGAGGAATACGACCGCGCTATCATCGCCTACGAGACCGCTGGACGGTTGCGGCCGCACTATGCCGAGGTGTGGAACAACGCCGGCGTTTTATACAAGGAACGAGGCAACGACGAGAGAGCCATGGAGTATTATCATCGAGCAGTGGCGTGCAACCCGAATTTCGCTCAGCCCTTGAATAATCTAGGCGTGTTGCACACAATGAGTGGCCAGGCACAGTTCGCGCTTGATGCTTTGCAGCGCGCCGTGACGGTGGATCCCGCGTACGCAGTGGCACACAATAACATCGGTGTACTGCTTCGAGACACGGGAGACATCGAGCACGCGTGCGATGCGTACAGAGAGTGCGTTCGCCACTCCCCGAATGATCGGCATGCCGAGCAAAATTATTTACTGGCGCTGAACTACATACGTCGCGGTGAGGAGCGAGAAGTGTGCGAGGCGCACGCGGCATGGGGAACGAGGTTCGCCAAACTGATTGGACCTCCTCTCAAGGCTCGTCGGGCGGTTCGACAGGATAGCGGCGCTGGGACACCAGGTCGGAGGAAACTCGTCGTCGGTTACGTGTCGCCAGATATGTATACACATTCGGTGAGTTATTTCGCCGCAGCTCCGTTGCGATCGCACGACTCGGAGATGATCAAGCCCATTGTTTATAACGTGGCCAAGTTTCGCGACGCTCAAACAGAACGCCTTCGTAAATTCACGCTAGAGTCGGGTGGTGAATGGCGTGACTGCGCAACGCTAACGGAAGCAGAACTCGCAGAGTGTATTCGTAACGATTCTGTGGACGTCCTCGTCGAACTCACGGGTCATACGGCGAACAACCGCCTCGGAACGATGGTTCTGGAACCAGCGCCCGTGCAAATCACTTGGATCGGCTACCCAAACACTACTGGGCTTCGATCAATCCGTTACCGCATCACTGACGAAGTTTGTGATCCGGCAGCTACGAAACAAACGTTCACCGAACAATTAGTACGGTTACCGTCGCCCTACGCTTTCTTGTGTTACACACCGAACCCGGAGGCTCCGAGCACGGTATCCTTAGCTCCGTGCTTGAGTGTTGGCTACGTGACGTTCGGATGTTTCAACACAATGGCTAAAGTCACCGCTGAAGTGCGAACGGTGTGGAGTCGAATCATGCTCGCTACCCCGGGTAGTAGGCTGTACTTCAAGTCAAAGGCGTTTGCGTGTGAAGTTATTCGACAGCGTTTTTTGACGCAGATGGCAGCGTGTGGCATTGAGAGCTGGAGAATTGACTGCGTACCGCTGGAAAAAGCGACTTCGTCGCATCTAGCGATGTATGATCGCGTAGATATTGCGCTCGATACGTTTCCGTACGCTGGCACGACGACGACGTGCGAATCGCTGTACATGGGTGTGCCTGTCATAACCCTCTCTGGCGGGTGCCATGCGCACAACGTGGGCAAATCCTTGCTGAAGACGATTGGTCTCGACGAGTTTGTGGCAAACGACGTGGAAGCGTATGTGCGTATCGCCACATCACTCGCAAAGGATACCAAGAGGATATCCAAAACTCGCTCGTCATTGCGAGACAAACTACTTCACTCTCCTCTGTGCGATGCGAACGGCTTCACTCGTGAACTCGAGTCCATTTATCGCGAGCTTTGGCAGCGATGGTGCGACGAGCAAGCCAGAGCCGCGGATGCCGAGAGTGATTTGGACGAAGAGGCGGAAGAGAAGGAAGACGACGAGGACCGATGCTCAGTGGACGGCGTGGAGGATGGTTCTAAGGGTGAGTCTAATTCTAGCGATAACGACACTGCGGAGCAATACGCTGGCACATCAGCCGAGCACGCGGAGCAAGGCGAGTTTTCCTCGAAATTGATTGATACATTAGAGATTTGAGTGCAACTGCAGACACAGCGAGTTGACATAGAAACGAGTTGAAAAGAAGAAAAAATATAATTCATTTGCTTTCAAAAGCCATCTATTGCTCTAATTTGTTCGCTTTGCATGCTGTCTAGAGGGAGAAGTTGCCTTCCTCATCAGCCATGGGCCCAGCGTTGGCGCCGATGGCCCTCTTCTTCTTCGGGATCTCAGTGATGACCGCTTGCGTCGTGAGCACCATACCCGCAATAGAGCAGGAGTTCTGAACGCCAGAGCGCGTCACCTTCTTCGGATCAATCACGCCCTTCTCGATCAAGTCCCCGTACTCGCCAACCATGGCATCGTAGCCGTAGTTGAAATCCCCTTCCATAACGTGTTGCACAATGACATCACCTTCCACGCCAGCATTGTTACCGATGAGTCGGCACGGCGCCAAGAGCGCCTTTTGCACGATTTCCGCACCCAATCGCTCTTCCGCGCTCGTGAGAGTCGGGATGAACTCATCGATCATCTTGCTCAAGTGCACCAACGCAGCACCACCACCGGGGACGATGCCTTCTTCAACCGCCGCGAAGGTGGCGTTCTTGGCATCTTCAATACGAAGCTTGCGCTCCTCCATCTCAGTCTCAGTCGCAGCGCCAACCTTGATAACGGCAACACCGCCAGCGAGCTTGGCGATGCGCTCTGAAAGCTTTTCGGTATCGTACACCGAGTCCGTCTCGGCGAGCTCTTGCTTGAGTTGAGCGACGCGCATGTCAATGTCTTCCTTGGAGGCGCCGTCGGCAATCAACGTCGTCGTGGTTTGGGCGATGCTCACCTTACGGGCGTAGCCAAGACTATCCATGGTGGCGCGTTGGACGGACAGACCGAGGTCCTTGGCGATGTACTGCGCGCCCGTGACAATGGCAATGTCTTGCAAGAGGGCCTTACGACGCTCACCGAAGCCAGGAGCCTTGATTGCGGCAACCTTAAGGACGCCACGCATCTTGTTCACCACCAACGTGGCAAGGGCCTCGCCGGTGATGTCCTCGGCGATGATCAGCAGCGGCGGGGAGCCGGCTTGGGACACCTCTTCAAGGAGTGGAACGAGCATCTGAACTTGTTCGATCTTTTCATCCGTGATCAAAATTCTGCAGCCTTCGTACTCGACCATGAGACGTTCATTGTCGTTGACAAATTGCGGAGAGATGTAACCGCGATCGATTTCCATACCTTCCTCGACTTCGACGACGGTTTCCAAGCCAGAGCCGGTTTCGATGGACAAGACGCCATCCGGTCCAACCTTTTCGATCGCTTCCGCAATCATGTTACCGATTTCTTCGTTGTTACCGGCGGAAATAGACGCAACAGCCCTGATATCAGCCGCGTTGCGAACCGGGATCGTGAGCTCGTCGAGCTTTTTGCGGCAGAACTCCGACGTCTTGTCCATGCCGCGCTTCACTGTCACTGGGTTGGCGCCAGCGGCAACGGATTGCAAGCCGTACTTGATCATTTCGCGAGCGAGCACGGAAGCAGTCGTGGTACCATCACCAGCGGAGTCGTTCGTGCGGCCAGCAACCTCCTTGATGAGCTGCGCGCCGGCGTTTTCAACCGGATCGGGCAACTCAATGGCGCGAGCGATAGTCACGCCGTCGTTGATAACCTGCGGCATGCCAAACTTCTCTTCCAGCACGACGTTACGCCCGCGCGGGCCGAGTGTGACGCCGACCGCATCGGCGAGCTTGTCGATGCCGGCTTGAATCTTGCGCCTGGACGCCATGTCAAAGGTCAACTTTTTCGCCTCGGCGCGCACTTGCACTTGCACGCGGCGGTTCGAGGCGCCCCGAGTGGTCCTCGCGGACAAGCCTCGAGCGGTCTGCGCGCGTCGTGTAAAAGCGCAACATCGTCAGTCTACGTTCTGTCATGCATCTCTTGTCTGTCGTCATCGAACGATCGCCCGATTCGTCGTCTCGATCGTCCAATTTTTCACTCGCAGCGCACAGCCTTTCCACTCTGCTCCCACCGCCGCCGGCGCAAGGGGCATCGGACGATTTATCGCCGTCCCACGCTCTGCTCGAGCGCGTACGAGACCCCCCGACGAGCGCAAACGATGAGAATTAATTCCCTTCGTCATTCTCGCCCATCGTGATCTCCTCCCGGTCGCTCGAGCGCGCGCTCGAGGCCGACTGCGCGTCCACGACGACCCCACGCGCGATGATGATGTCGAGGTCCCTCGCGCCCGCGTCCGCGCGTGGACGCGTCGACGGGCGATCGAGGACCACGGCTCGGGTACATATCACGCGTTAACGTACCGTCATCGAGCGCGACGTGAGCTCCATGTTTACCACGCGTTCGTCGACGTACAGTGCCGCGTCGCGCGCGTCGACGGCGCCTTCGATTGCTTCGAAACTTGACCTCAAACCTGAACGAAGATGGGGTTTTTATCATCGATCGATTCGTGCGTTTTGATGGATTTGGGAACGCTTCGATACGCATGTACGACGCATCGGACGTTCGGGAGACGGGCACGCGACGCGACGCCGCGCGTCACATGGCGCGCGGACGCGGCGGACGGGGCGGGCGCGGTGGGAAACCTCGCGGTGGGCGTCACGCGGGACCGTCGAGCGTGCTCCCGTCGTGGGCCCGAGGCGGGGGAGGGAACTTTTGTGCGTGCTCGCGAGACGGGTGCGAGAAGCGACACGCGGCGGACGATGGGAGCGACGACGACGACGACGGACGCGCGAGCGTGATGCCGGTGCCGCTGGCGATGTGGGATCTGGCGCAATGCGACCCGAAGCGATGCAGCGGGCGGAAGTTGGCGCGATTGGGATGCTTGAGAGAGCTCAGGGTGCAGCAGCGGTGGGCGGGCGTGGCGCTGACGCCGAACGCGACGGAGACAATATCACCGAAAGATTTCGACGTGTTGCGCTCGAATGGGTTGGCGGTGGTGGATTGCTCGTGGAATCGATTGGACGATGTTCCGTTCGCGAAATTGCACAGCGCGGCACCGAGATTGTTGCCGTGGTTGGTGGCGGCAAACCCGGTGAACTACGGAAAACCGTGCAAACTGACGTGCGCCGAGGCCTTGGCGGGTGGGCTCTACATCGCGGGCTATCGCGACGCGGCGGAGGAACTGATGAATAAATTCAAGTGGGGACACGGCTTCATCTCTCTCAATCGCGATCTCTTGGAGTCTTACATGAAGTGCAAGACGAGCGAAGAGGTGATTGAGACACAAAACGCTTGGTTGACGCAGGGCGGCCCGAGCGCGGGTCCGAAGCGAGATATGTTTCCTCCGAGCGAGAGTGATTCGAACGATGACGATGACGATGACGAGAGCAGTTCGGACGAAGACGATGGCTTACCACCGTTGCAACAGAATTTGAACCACTCCCGATTCGGCATTGAGCGCTCTGGCAACAATTTCCGTAACAGGTTCAACGAGAGCGAGGACGATGAGAGCGAGGACGATGAGAGCGAGGATGACGAGACGGTGGATATAACGAGGCGAGTCGCTGATCTCTGATTTAGTAACATAGCGTGTTGTGTAAAAAAGTGTGCGATGATGATAGTTAAAACCTGGCGCGCTTTTTATTCTTATCGTCATCCGTCATCGGACTCAAAACTTCCGAATCGACACCGTGTCGCGGGAAGCATCGATTCTCGCCAAAACTTCAGATCTCTTACGTTCGTATGATTCATCAGTCTCGTCAGAGTTGTGAAGTGCCTCCATCTCGGTGTAGACTGGAAGTGTGAAATCTTGCGTGCTGGTCACCGGTCGATCGAGTCTAGCGGTCTCGACTTTGTCCAGCGCGCTGAAGGCGATGGCTTCGTCGAATCGACCTTTGATTTCCTTCACGATGCTCGTCGCTTTCTTTGACGTCTTGTTCGACGCCGTAGTGGTCGGCCGGTTCCTCGACTGGAGCGACAGGCCGCTCAATTTTGTTCTCGGCACCTTGGACGCGCGACTCGTCGTCACATGCTTTATTCTTCTTTCCTCGGCGAAGTCACTGTCGTTGTCTTCGTCATCAGAGTAATCGTTGTCAACATCGTCATCGTTGCTCGTTTCATTCACGCGCGTTCTCTTTGATAGCGATAGTCTCGCGCGCGACTGCCGGCGTCTCGGAACGATTGGAGCGTTGAGAACGTGTCTCGGAAGCTTTGCCTCGACGGCGAGGATATCCTCCAGCGCCGCGTCATCGCCGATTATGAGCTCAAATTTCGGCACGCGTCCTGGTCCGTATCGATCGTTGAACGCGCGCAGCGGCGGACCGCTGTACTGCGATCGAGAGAGGTCAGGCAGAAAACAGGGCACACTCGCGCGCGCGCACCTCGCCACGCGCGTGAATCGCACCGTCCTCGCGAAAGATCGCGAGCGGTGCTCGGGCGAATCCCGGATATATTGTCGTGTCTACCAGTGCACGGAGCGTCGCGCCGCGTCGCGGCCGCACGCGCGCGCTCACTGGTCTCGTCTCCATGTCCTCCGTTGAGCCGCCTCGGACTGAGGTTTTCGTCTTCGTTCAGTTACAAATTTCTTCTAAATCATATCAGCCACGTTCATCGGCATCTCATCAATTTGCGTGGAATAATATTGCTCGATGTCGCGCAACGCTCGGACGTCCTCCTCCTTCACGAAATTGATGGCCACACCCTTGCGACCATAACGACCCGAGCGACCGATTCTATGAATGTAGTTTTCACGATTTCCCGGCAAATCGTAGTTGATCACCAAGGATACTTGCTGAACATCGATACCGCGCGCCCACATGTCGGTGGTTATCAACACGCGCGTGGTTCCGCCGCGGAATTCATTCATGATCTCTTCGCGCTCCTTTTGAGGCATGTCGCCGTGCATCGCAGAGACAGTAAAGTTGTTTTGACGCATCTTCTCTGTCAGCCAATCCACTTTCTTCTTCGTGTTGCAGAAGATCACAGCCTGGGTGATGGTCAGGGTATCGTACAAGTCGCACAGAGTATCGAATTTCCACTCCTCGCGCTCGACGGCGACAAAAAACTGCTTGATACCCTCTAGCGTGAGCTCGTCTCTCTTCACCAAGATGCGCAGCGGATCAGTCATGAACTTCCCGGTCATCTCCAAAACCTCATTCGGTAGCGTGGCACTCACTAGGACCACCTGCGTCTCCGGCGGAAGGTATCTGTACACGTCGTAAATTTGTTCCTTGAACCCCTTGTTCAACATTTCGTCCGCCTCGTCCAGGACCAAAATCTTTATCCCGCGCGTTCGCAAGTTACGCCTCTTGATCATGTCGAAAACACGCCCCGGCGTCCCGCTCACGATGTGACAGCCGTAATCTAGCTTTCTGATGTCCTCACCGATCGACCTACCCCCGATGCACGCGTGCACTTGCACGTTCATAAAGTTCCCGAGCGCGAGCGCCGTCTTCTCCGTCTGCACCGCCAACTCTCTCGTCGGCGACAGCACCAACCCCTGCACCTCCCTCGACGTCGTGTCCAGCATCTGACACAGCGCCAGCGAAATCATAGACGTCTTCCCCGTTCCACTCTGCGCCTGCGCGATCACATCTCTACCCGAAATGATCGGCACCACCGCGCGCTGTTGAATCGCGCTCGGCTTTTCAAACCCGTACGAGTACAAACCTCTCAACAAATCCTCACGAATTCCCATCGCATCGAACGTCGCGTGTCTCGCGATTCCCTTGGACACCTCAAACGACACGTTCTCGTGTTCATCGCGATCCACCACCCGGTCGTCGTCGTCACCTCGCGCCATCTCGGAAGATTTTCACAATCGAATCCACCCGTCGCCGCCACCCACGCGCCCCGATCGGTCGTTCGTCTCGCCGCCGCCCACGCCCGCGCGCGCCCCTGCCGCGCGCGAATCCGTCGCCGCCCGCGCGTGCGCTCACCCGCGTCGCTCGCTCGACGCGATGGCGATCGTCGCGAAGTGCGGCGTCGCCGCCATCGCGCTCGCGACGATCGCCATCGCGCTCGAGCGCGGACACCGCGACGCGCGCGTCGCGGGCGTCGCCGCCGCCGAGCCGACGACGATGGCCGCCGCGTGGGAGGGATGGTACGCCGCCGCCGTCGTCGTCGGCATGTTCGTCGCGCTGCTTCGAAACGTCGCGGGACCGGACGTGTTGATGCTCGGCGCGCTGAGCGCCGTCTTAGCGGCCGGGTGCGTGGACCTCGAGAGCGGATTGCGAGGGTTCTCGAATAAAGGATTACTCACGGTGGCGTGCCTGTTCGTCGTGGCGAGCGGGATATCGAACACGGGGGCGCTGGACTATTACATGAGCAAGACGCTCGGGACGCCGAGGACGGCGGCGGCGGCGCAGGCGCGGTTGATGGTCCCGATCGCGGCGGTGAGCGCATTTTTGAATAATACGCCCGTGGTGGCGATCATGATTCCGATCGTGCAGAAGTGGAGCAGGAAGTGTAAGATTGCGCCGGCGCAGTTGTTCATTCCGTTGTCGTTCGCGTCCATCCTGGGCGGGACGTGCACGTTGATCGGGACGTCGACGAATTTGGTCATCGACGGGATGCGGAAAGAAAAGTACCCGAACGAGCGAGCGTTGGGGATGTTTGAACTCTCAAAGTACGGCGTGCCGGTGCTCCTGAGCGGGTTGGCGTACGTTCTCTTCGCCGCGCCGTTTCTATTGCCGGGCGGTTCCAGAGGCGCAGACGCCGATCAAAACAAGGATATGGACATGGATAATCTCACCGTCGGCGCGGTCGTCCCGCGCGGATCACCGGTCGTCGACGTCGAAGTTGCGGTTTTGCGCGGTCTTAACGGGTTGTATCTCGTGAGCGTCCAGCGCGGCGACATGTTGATGCGCGCCGTGCGTCCCGAGTTCATACTCGAAGTCGGGGACATTTTGATCTTCACCGGTCTGGTCGATCGCATCGGAGACGTTTGCAAGCAACACGGGCTGGTTCCGTTGACGCATGACGTGGAAGAAAGGATGATTGAGCGGCAGCGAGTGTCTTTCGAGGAGGATGCGACGAACAGATTGACAAACGCGGCCCACGTCGATGGCAACGTGACGTATCCGCCCCGCGCGAAATCGTGGCAAACCGGAAGTAATCGGACACAAGACGACAACGACATCAGTGGTGTCGCTTGGATGCATCGGAGCGTCTCCGAAAGGCCAGACGGTCGAGCGAGCATTGATTTACACACGTATGAGAAAATGCTGCGTCAGTTCACGATGAGGACCTCTACGGACGCCGACGACGCGCCAAGAGGAATCTCTTCGACCGAGAAGCGGCCATCGTTGCGCGTGAGTTTAGATCACAACTTCGTGCACGGCGAAAGTGGGCGTACGCCACTCGATGACGATTCGCGACATGATTACTTGGACGAGCACGTGGACGAAGCTGAGCGCGTCGAAGTCGTGCGCGCGCGCGTGCTCGAGAACTCATCGCTCGTCGGCACCACGCCGGCTGAGTGCAAATTTAGGCACAAGTTTATGGCTTCGATCGTCGCCGTGCAAAGCACCGTTCAAGCGGGAACATCAAAAGTTGGTGAACTGCGAGGAGGACATCTGGGAAAGACAATTTTCCAACCCAACGATATTTTGATGCTTCACGTGTCACAGGAGAGCCCACTTCTCATTCAAAAGAGAGAGCGCGAAGCGCACGCGTCGAGTATCTCTAAGAAGGGAATTCCACGCGTGTCTTCTCGGAAAAATATGTCCATGGACGATCTAGAAACTCTATCCTTCACGTGCGGAGACGATTTGGAGGTTTTGCTCACAGAAAACAAAACAGAGGTCAATTTCAACGAGTTCGCCATCCCCATGCGTGTTGTGAGCGGGGGCGCGCTGGACGGGAAAACCATTCAGCAGGTTGACCTCGCTAATATGCCCGGGCTTTTCTGCACGGCCGTTCAGACGCACGAACGACACGAAATGCAAGTACCGGACGGCAACACTCGTCTCAACGGCGAAGACATTCTATGGTTTGCGGGAGATATGGCGGGGATACAAACGCTTCGCCGCATCCCAGGTCTAGTACCTCAGGAAAAACAAGTCGAGAAACTCAAGCACGTACGGAAAAGCGATAGGCGTCTAGTACAAGCAGTCATATCTCAGGGGAGCTCGCTGTGCGGCAAGAGCGTACGCGATACGCATTTCAGAACTCGGTACGATGCCGTCATCATCGCCGTACAGCGAAGTGGTGGGCGGATCCAGGCCAGAATCGGTGATATTATTCTGGAAGCGGGCGACGTTTTGCTGCTCGATACGTCGACGAGCTTTTTGCACGATCACAAGTCGGATCCGTCGTTTGCGCTCATCTCTGAGATTGAAGATTCCGCTCCGCCACAGTTTGACAAGCTGTTACCTTCGTGCGGAACCGCAGTGGTGATGATCGCAGTATTCGTTGCTGGCGCATTGGACCTCTTCATCGCCGCGCTCTTGGCCTCAGGAATCATGCTTGCGACTGGATGCTTGACGCAGGAGCAGGCTCGCGCTTCGGTGAAGTGGGACGTCATAGTCACCATCGCGGCCGCCTTTGGATTATCCGCCGCTTTGGAGCAAACTGGAGTTGCGTCCGCGATCGCGTCGACGCTCGTGAGCGCGGGTAATGGGCTTGGTACGGGTAAACCCGGTATCTTGACCGGTGTGTATCTCGCCACCGTGTTACTGTGCAACATCGTCGGTAACAACGCGGCGGCGGCACTCATGTATCCCATCGCAGCCGGCGCGGCAGACAAGCAAGGAATCGCGAACGTACAGATGAGTTTTTTGCTCATGCTCGCCTCCTCTGCTTCGTTCATGTCACCGTTCGGATACCAGACCAACTTGATGGTCTACGGTCCGGGAGGTTACGTCTTCGCCAACTTTCTCAAGTTTGGTGCCCCCATGCAAGTGGTACAAATGATCGTCTCGATCTCCGTCGTCCTCCTCGATGATAGCTGGTGGATTGGGTGGATCGTCGGATTCGGCGCCGTGGGTTCAATCTACCTCGGCCGTATCCTGGCACACAGACTTCGCAAGCGCGCAGCGGCGAATTCGGAATCCGTGAGCGCCTCGGTAGAAAAATTGGACGCCATCGAAGAAAATCTCTGATGAAACTGTAAACGTAAGCCTGTGTAGTGGTAAGATAGCATCGAGCGCACGCGTCCTCGTGAAGATCCATTCGACGTCATCGCCCGGTCGCTTCACGTCGTCATCCAGTTCCCTCTTGTCTCCGTCGTCGGCGAGCGGATAACCCGCTCGACGCGTCCGCGTCCGGTCTGGCCATTCACTCCGCACACGCGCGCGTCGCGTCGCGTCGAATCGCGCGATGTCCGACGGCGCGTCGATCCTACACAGAGTCGCCCTGAACGCCGCCTTCATCGCTCTCGGCTATGGTTTACGTCGCTCGAAGGTTTTATCCGTCGACGATGGACGAACCGTCTTCAGGTTCGCCACGCACGTCACCTTACCGGCGTTGTTGCTGTACGTCATGACGAGGGCGACGAGCGGATCATCGAGCGAGATATTGCGGACGGTCGTCGAGCGGGTGAGCGGGACGATACCGGCCATGTCGCTCGCGGTCGGAATCGGGTGCTCGCTCGGGGCGTACTTTTTGTATCGCAAGCACCCGGCGCGCGCGCGCGGGTTAGCGGTCGGGAGCGCGACCGGGGTGAATCTCGGGATGTTCGCCTACCCGTTCATTGAGGCGATATGGGGGATGCCGGGGCTGGCGATGTGCGCGATGTGGGACGCGCCGAACGCGGTGGTCGTGTTCGGCGCGGCGAAGGCCATCTTCGCAGCCGAGCAAAAGAATGGAGATGCCTCGAGGGCGGTGCACGACGACGGCGGCATCTACGACGGCGAGTGGTTAGATAAGAAGAAGCACGGATACGGGTGTTACAAGTATCCCAGCGGGTCGACGTACGAAGGGCAATGGAAGAATAACATCAAGGATGGCTTGGGCGTGTACACGTACGCAAAGGGCGGTTCATACGCCGGCGAGTTCAAGCGAGGGAGATTTGAAGGGACGGGTATTCGAGTGCTCCGTACGGGAGTCGTCAAGGCGGGATTATGGGAGGATAATGAGTTCGTGGAGGCGACGACGGTGAAAGACTGCGAAGGGACGATCGCGGCTGCGAACGCGGCGGTGGCGTCTGCTCGCAAAGCTGCCGAAGCGAGCAGCCTCACGATGAAGGCGCTATTCTGGAAGGTGGCCAAGTTTCCACCCGTCATCGCCGTGACTCTGGCGAGCTTGATGAATTTCACTGGTGTCGCGCTTCCACAAAGTGCCGCGCAGCTGGTGGTTCCCTTGGCGAATGCGAACAATCCCATCGTCTTGTTGACGCTGGGCGTGCTCTTCAAACCCGCCATGGATAGACTGCAACTGCAAGCAGTGGCGAGGTTCATTGGCGTTAAATACGGATTAGGATTGATCGCCGCGGCGATGTGTACGATTTTCATCCCGCAGAGCTTTTCCTTGGCTCGCGGTGTCATCGCTGCGCTTTGCGTGATGCCAGTGCCGTCCATCGTCATGCAATACTCGGCGGAACACGACAACGACGGCCAACTCGCGGCTGCCATCGTGATGAGCTCGCAAGCGATGACGATAATTTTGATATGTTGTTTCGCGGTTGCTGCGCCTCACATCGCAAACATAGACCGTGCGGTGTTTTCTGGCGCTCTCGCCGCGGGAGCCGTTGCGCTGTCGGCGGCGAGCGCAGCGGGCGTGAAGGCTCTGGAGACATCCAAGTCTGACCGCTCGTCGAAATCGAACATGGCCGTCGCACCGACCGCGAGCATGGCGTCGATACCGCGAGCGAGTCGAAATACTCGACGGAGGATCGCGATACGAGAATCTCCTTTACTCACTCTAAGCGCCCGAGGATCGAAGTTCGCGCGGCCTCGCGCGAGGGCGAACATCAGGAGCACGCACGCGTTCGCGATGAGTGGCGGCATGAAGTTTGTGCGACTGTAGGATAATTTTAGAGGGATGAGGGCCATTGGAATTTAATTAAGTTGTGTGGATTTAAGTTGCAAATCGCGTCGCTTGCACAAAATTGATCGACAGTTTATTCGGCAACCATCGCCTCGGCTTCGTCCCGGATGGTGCTGAAGAGAGCGGAAGAGAGGTAACGTTCACCAAAGGACGGGAACACTGTCCCGATGAGCTTGCCGGCATTTTCCGGGCGCTTAGCGAGTTGAATCGCCGCGACTGCCGCCGCACCGGAGGAGATACCGACCATCAAGCCCTCTTGCAACGCCAACTGCTTTGCCATCGCGATGGCGTCGTCACTCGCCACTTGCACAATTTCGTCGATGATGTCCACGTCGAGAATACCCGGGATGAAGCCCGCACCGATACCTTGAATCTTGTGCGGGCCCGGTCCGCCACCCGAGAGCACCGGAGACTCAGTCGGTTCGACGGCAACGATCTTGCAGTTTGGGTTCTTGCTCTTGAGGTAGCGACCCGTGCCTGTGATGGTACCGCCGGTGCCGACGCCCGCGACAAAAATGTCGATTTGACCCGCGGTATCTTCCCAGATCTCCGGCCCCGTCGTTTCAAAGTGCACCTTTGGGTTGGCCGGGTTTTCGAACTGTTGCAGAATGTAAGAGTCCGCCGTCTTGGCGGCGATTTCCTCAGCCTTGCCGACCGCACCCTTCATACCTTTTGCCGGGTCCGTCAACACCAAGTTCGCCCCGAACGCCTTCAACAAGATGCGACGTTCAAGCGACATGGACGCCGGCATCGTGAGCGTGAGCTTGTATCCCTTCGCGGCGGCGATGAACGCCAAGCCAATGCCCGTGTTTCCACTCGTCGGCTCCACGAGCGTCGTCTTACCCGGAGTGATCTTCCCCTCTTGTTCCGCCGCGGCGATCATGCTCCAACCGATGCGATCCTTCACGCTGCAGCACGGTTCCATAATCTCTAGCTTGGCCGCGATCTCTGCTCCGCATCCTTCCGAGACTTTGTTCAGGTACACCATAGGCGTGCACCCGACGAGCTGCGTCACGTTGTCCGCGATGTTCACCGCGTTCGCCGCCCGCGTCGCCACCCGCGACGCCCGCGCGCTCGAGCGCTTCGCGCGCACCGAGATAGTACTCTTCATCGCGTTCGGCGCGGTGACTTTCGGAACGGACGCCATGTCGCACGACCGAACGAGTGATGGTTGAAAAGTTCGATAATCGATCGACGTTGATCGATTGCTCGGACGACGATTCTTTGCCTGCGTCGAGGACGAGAGTGCGAAGCGCGCGTCGCGGTCAGCGTCGAGGGCAAAACGAGAGCGAGGACGCGCGCGCGGACGACCGGACGCGGGACGGACGCGACGCACCGCGAGGCGACGTGTGAGGCTCAGAGGTTTTCGACAGAATCTCAATTGTGTCGACACGGATTCACAACCCTAGCTCGAGTGACTCGGCGACGCGCGGGACGCCCGTTCGCGCGGCGCGCCCGAACCTTCATGGGCGAAAAGGGGCGACGGCGATGCGACGACTGACGCGCGTGTGATCGGGATTGACGACGACCCGAAGGCGATGGCCGGGAAGGGCGTCTGAGGTGGTCGGACTCGCGGCGACGGCGTACTCGGAGCAGTACGGCGATTTCGCAAGCAGTGCGGCAACGTACGCGCGCTCGGCGGGTGTCTCGCACGTCGCTTTTACCGTTATCGACGACGCCGCGAGGAAATCTTTCGCACGCGCGCGTTCCCAATCGGATGCTGAGCGGAGAAGGCGATCGACCAGCGTCATCGGAGCGCTCGGCGCACGAACTCGAAGACTCTCCGCTCGATGCACCGTGCGCTCGGCGACTTGGATCAAGGCCAACGGGAAGTCGTAATCGTCCAGCGTTAATGTGCCCTCACGAGCAAAAACACTCGAACACGCGTCGTTGGCATTTCGTAGCGCGTCTCGCGCGGCCTCGTCTTTGGCCGTTTCCGCGGAGAATAACAACCCGAGAGAAGCCGCGCACGCACACCGCACGACGTGATCCAGGAGCGCCGCCGCCGGAATCGTCTCCAGATAATGCAACGCCTTTTCACCTTCTACGATCGGATCGAACAGCAGTTTTTGATCACGTGCCATACTACGTGGTGCTTGTTTCCAAAGCTCGGCCCAAACATTTCCGTCGTGACGCATTCGTTCGCTCAGGTGTCCCCTTGGAGCAACCGAAGCTGAAATTTCGTCTGTTTGTTCGTCGCTTGCCCCCTCCACCCAATCCTTTGGGGAATACCAACGAACGAAATCCTCGAAGGTCGCGCGCGGATTCGCAGCCTTGAACGCGGACATATCGGAGATCAGGGAATCGCTCTGCGCGCGCTGACGAGCGGCGCGACCATGCTCGTCGTCGCCCAAAGCTCGAAGTGCGGCTTCGCGCTCAGCGAGCATATCCTCCGTCAGCAACGGCGCAGCCTGCGTGACTGGCGCGCACATAAATGTGTGCGGTGGCTGCATCATGCGGATTTTCAGAGTTCTAGATATCCCCTCGGCGATCGCGTCGATAACTTCACCACCGTTGTCATCGACAAAGACTTCATCCGCGCTCGCGTACGCGTCCTCGTCAAATTTCGACGCCAGAGAGCTGCTACCACTCGTCGCTTGCTCGAGTGATGGCGGGATTTTCGCGTCGTCGCCCAGCAAAACGTTTAAATCTAAATCGTCGTCGATCGGATGGCTCATGGGCTTCATCGGCGATACATCGGGAAGGATCGGGTCCAGTCCATCAACTTTTGGCTCGACGTTTCCGATGCTGTGCGTCTCAACTTCCTCATCCCCACTCCATCCACCCGCCGCGAGATCCCAGTCAGCGTTCGTCTCTTTCTCGCGCTGTTCCGTAAAGAATGTGCTCTTTTCCAACTCGGTATCGCTTCGTTTATTCCTTCGGACGATGCATTGATTGATTAGCTGCAGCTTTTGATGTAAGACACACGCGCCATGATCAATGCCGAGCGTGTCGTCAAAGTCGATGCCAGGTGCCATGCGCCCGCGCTCCCAATACTTTTGTCGGAGTTCGCGAACGAAGATGTTCCAAAGATTCGCCACGGCGCGCGCGTTCTTGCACAGGCACGCGTGCAGAGCGAAACGCGAGATCAATGAGTTTGCCGGAGCCGATTTCAACGGTTCTTCAAACTCGCTCAAAACGCTCACGCTCGTGGTAAATATATCCGCCACGATGCCTCTCGAGTGTGTGTCGCTCGGTAAAGGCAGTACATCAAAATCACGTTGCCGCCAAAAGTCTACACCGGCCAACGATGCGGTGTCCACTGCGCCGTCGGTTGCGCGCACAAAGATGGCGTCCTCCGCGCGCGCATAAATCAACTCGCTCAAAGTTGTCGTGCCGCTCGATATGAACTCGTCCTCGTCCTCTCCTCTATCGCGTGCCGCTTGCGTGAGCTCACCCCTAAGACTCCATATCTTAGCGTCCTCGACTTCAAGATCCGACATGGAGAAACCACACATTGAATCGAAAGGCTCGTCGAGCCACAGAGCATCAAGCTCTAACGAGAGCCACGGATCCTCAACGTTCACCCATCGCGCCCACGGGCATTCGTCGTCCCACTCCTCTATACATAAACCAAAATCATCCGAATTTGCTATATTCTCGTGCGCGTTCTGGCGTCGAAGACCGACAAGCGTTTCGCGCTCGTCTTCGGAATCGTCGTCGTTTGTCCTCGCCGCCGTCGACGTCCGACCGTCCTCACGCCGCAGTGTGAACGTCAATCGCGCAGAAACGAGCGCTTGTTCTAAAGCCTTTGTCTCTGCCTCGATCGCGCGCGTCGAAACGTCCACCCGCGCGTCTCGCACTTGCTTGAGGAACGCACTGACGCACCCAGAGAACGTCCGCGCCGCTTTCTCTTCTCTTCCGCTAAACCTCGTGAATCGCGTCACGTCCGTCTCCAACACCGCGTCTCCGTGATCTCGATCGCACACATCCCCGGTAAAATCTCTCTCATCATACCCTCGTGGGGTGACGACCGCAATGGCGTCTCCCACGTCTAACGCCGACATCGCCTGCGTGAACGCCGCGCGCACTGTCGTCGCCTCATCCGCGTCCGCGAACCGCCCGCTCGCGCTCACCGCTCGGACGAACAACGCACAGTGCGCGTCGAACATCGACACGTGATCCAACGAATCCACCGTACGCTTCGCGTGCGTGAATTCCACCCCGCCCGCGCGCGTTCCTCTCGCCGCCCGCGCGCGTTCCAACAAACTCCCCACCGCCCGCACGTCTTCACCCTCCGCTCCCATCGGCCACTCGCGCGCGCGCGCGTCGCACCGTACCTCGCACGCGTACGCCTCCGTGCGCCAGTGTTCGTGCGGCGCTCGAATCGTGAACGCCCGCGTCGTCGACCCATCGTCCCGACCGAACGCCTCCACGAGCGCTCGCGCCGCCTCCACGCACAGCCGTTCGTGCGGCGTCGTCGCGCTGTGATCCTCGTGCGCGCGCGCGCGGTCGTCGTCGTCGTCCATGCGCGTCCGCGCGCGCGCGTGTGGGCACGGGACGAATGATTCATCGTCGTCCCGTCGCCCATCGCGTCCGCATTCGTCGTCCATCTCGCTCGACCTCGGTCGATGCCCATCGCGTTCGACGTCGATCGCGCGTTCGATCTCGCGTGCGCGCTCACCGCGATCGCTTGGCTCGCCCTCGCCCTCGCGGCGGTGCTCGAGGGACGGGCGCGGCGACGCGATTGGGCGTCACCGGAAGGCGAACGGTCGCGAATCGGAGACGACGACCGTTCGCGCGCCGAGACCCTGCGCTCGATCGCGGGAAATATCGCCCTCGCGGAGTGCGTCGGGTACGTCGCGCTCCTCTCGTCGGCGCTCGGTGAGATCGACTGGACGCGGGCGTCGTTTCGCGATTTGCGCGGCGTCGGCGCGGCGTTCGAGTCGCGTCGGGCGTTGTGCGCGGGGTGGGTGCATTATCTCGCGTTCGATCTCCTGCTCGGTCGACGGTTGATTCGTCGCGAAGGCGAACGTGGGGTGCCGGTGTGTCTTACCCTGGGCCTCACCGCGCCGCTGACCCTGCTCGCGGGACCGGTCGGGTACGTGTGGAGCGAGACGTTCGCGCAGCGCGCGCTGGGACGCGGGAAAGGGGGGCAAAAGTCTCCGTCGAAGCGTGAGTGAGAGCGACGATGCGCAGAGAGTACGATATTGTCTTGCGAATCGGGTACGTCGGCGTTACGGCGCTGTGTGGGATGATGTTTGTATGGATTTGGGTCGCGCCGGGAAGTTGTTCGACGGTTTTCAACGCAATCGAGGACAAAGGTTTCGCCACGGTCTCCGACGGTCTGGTGCCGCGAACGCTCATCACGAAATACCGAAAACATCTCGCCGTGTGCGTCGCACACGTCTTACCGGCGAGCGTTTGGTCGGCGATAGCGCCGTTTCAGATTCATCCGGCGGCTCGTAAACGTTTCCCGCGAGCGCATCGCTACGCGGGACGACTCTTTCTCATCATCTCCGCATCCATGACGTACGGGTACTATCTCATCAACAAGCGCGGTCTGCACTTCCACGCGAACGATTTCCCCACGATTCCCGTGGAGGAGCGCGCGTCGTTTTGGATTGATTACGGCGCCGTCGGACTCTCGTTCGTGCACGTCGAGCACTTCGGCGCGATGTGGTTCGCGTTCACCGCAATGCGAGCGTACATCGCCGTCGCGACGCCGCCTAGAAATTTCACCGCGCACAGGGCGTGGACGTGGCGACACATCGCGAGCGGTCTCGCCGTCGCGCTTCAGCGCGTCTTCCTATTTATCCATCACGGCGCGTTTCGCGTCTTCGGCGCAACCGCCTCGACGCCAGAGCTCATGAAGCCAATATTCAGCGATTCCCTCGTCTACGGCGGCGTCTTCGCCGCTGTCTTTTGCGAGGTGTGCATCTTCAGGGCGCATCCAGCGCGTGCGCGTTTTAAAACGTCCTGATCACCGTCCGCGCTCTCGCGCCGCGCCGCCGCGTCGCCGCGCCGCCCAAACCCTCCTCCCCGCATCCCCGCACCGCACTCCGCGTCGTCCGCCGTCGTCGCCCCATGCCGGTGCGCATACGACTCGCGAGATTCGGCACGAAGAATCGCCCGCACTACCGCCTGCACGTGTGCGACTCCCGGGCGCCGAGAGATGGAAAACATTTGGAGATTGTCGGTCACTACGACCCGATCGCGCAAAAGGATGGACACAAACACGTCGGTTTACGCATCGATCGCATAAAGTACTGGTTATCGTGCGGGGCGCAACCGAGCGAGACGGTGGCGAGGCTGTTGGGACAGGCGGGAATCTTACCCGCGCTGCCGAGGCGGGGTGGGGGGAAGGCGACGGCGGAGAGAGGGTTCGCGGCGAGCGGGACGTAGAGCCGACGGAAGAAAGCGGCGACGGCGAGGGAGGCATCGCGCGTCGCGATGATTTAGCGAGACGTATGACGGCGGAGTACGTTTCTAGTAGAAGTTTTGATGACACATAGCGAGCTTAGCGAACGCGAGCGAGTCACAGGCGGATCCGTTCTCCGCGTCCGGCTATCTCGTCGACGCGGAGACGCGTTTCGAGACGCTCGATGTCCTCACCGCACGTATCGATCAACGCGTCGCCTTGGAATATCTTCGTCGTGCCGATGACAAAGTTGCATCCACACTGCCGCTTTTTCGCCAGGTGACGCAAGCACGCGATCTCGGCGTATGTGACGCCGCCGATGAAGAATACCATAACCGTCGGTTTCGGCCAGAGCTCATCTTTACCGTCGAGCGGGGCGGCTTTCTCACGTCTCTTGTTGAACTCGCGGTAGCTCACCTTTGAGTTGACGGGGCGCCCGTAATCGTTTTCCCCCTGTGTGTACTCGAACAACTCCCCGGGTAAGTGTTTCAACAAGTCCTCGCCCGAGTTGTTCGGAGCGATGGATTTCCACGAACCGCGCGTCGCGGCCTCGACGAGCCTCACGCTCAAAGGCGCGTATCCGGACGATGAATAAGCAAAAGTGATATCATTTGGCTCCTCCGATCCGTCCACGCCGTCGGCGATGAGCTTGAGCGGTTTTCGCATCTGCGCAAATCCCCGCGAGCGCTTCTTCGCCGTCTCCCGATCGACAAACAATCCCGCGGTTTCCAGCGCCTCGAGCTTGAGAAGAATCTCCGGACCGAACGCGTTGAACAGGTCCGAAAAGATTTTTTCGTGCATCTTCGGTGGGAAGCCGTTGAAACACACGCACGCTAACACGACCATCCGCAGGCACGGTATCGCCTCGTCGCCGCGATAAATCATCGTCTCGAGGTGATCCATCACCGTCTGCAAGTCTTCCCCCTCGACGCACAGTCTCTCGCATTCGAGGCGATTTTGGAACCACTTTTTCTTCGTACAATCAATCAAGTACTTGGCGAGCGTTGCGTGTAAGTCCAAGCCCGTTCCCCCGATGTTCGCCTTGATTTTCTTCACAAAGTCGCCAATCTCGCTCACGTGTTGATCCTCAACGTTCGATCCTTTAATCGCGTCGTAATCCTCCTTGATGGCCGTCGCCAGGTCACGGATCACGTTACACGCTCGACCAAAGTTCATATCACGTATCTGATCGAACAGTCTGTCGGTGTTGTTGAGTTTCGGTCGCATCGCAATCGGCCCTGCTTTGTGCGCGCGAGCGCGCACGTACTTTTCTTCCCGTTTCGCCGGATCGTCGGTTTTCACGACGTCCTTCTTTTTTCCATCCCCATCGAACGCACGCTGTGGAATCGCCACCGCGCCCTTTTCGATACCCAAGATTTCGTCAATCAATCCCTCGTACGTCAGCTGCGTGCACAGCGGAGTCACCATATCGACGTCTCTGTCGATGAGAACGATCATGTCAATCAGAGAGTCACAGTCGACGCCCGGCTCGACGAACGCCGGTTCCTCGATAACGGGATCCACCCCCAAGCGCATCTCGAGCAATAACTGCGCCACTTTGTGCGCGACGTCGCCCTTGCCCTTAACCACGGGCGCGAGCCCGGTGAAATCGCGTTGTAATTTGTGCAGCGCCGCGGCGACGTAGTACGCGCTCGCGTGCCATTCCTCGGTGACGATTTCGCTGTACGCCTCGGGATACTCCATCGTGAACACGTCCGGTTCGAGCGGTACCAAATCGCATTCGCACTGCACCATGGTGACATAGTCTAGGGCGTGAAGATCCCGCAGAGCGTGCTCGCACATCTCCGTCACCCTCGGCGCGCACAGGACGTACATCTTTGGCAGCGGTGGAATTTCAGGAAATCCATCCGCGTCTGGATTCGCGTTGGAACTCGAATCCGATTCCTTCCCACCCCTCTTCACGCCGCGTCCGGTTGCGCTCGCGACGCGCGTTAATAACCCCTCGACCGCGCTCGTCGCTCGTTTCCCCCTATCCCTGCTCGCCACTTCTTCCGCGCGCGCTCTCAACGCCGCGTCCCTGCGTCTTCGCACCGACCGCACGTGTTCCGCCACCGTCACCATGTTCGCCAACTGCGGTCGACACGCGAAGACGATCACCGTGGAATCATCGCTCTCGGGAATCTCCCCCCACGCCTCCAATCCGTAAAACGTCGTCACGTTCGCCTCGCGTCTCAACCGCGTCACGACATCCGGCGAGCACCGAATCAACCCATCGCGAAACGACGCATCCATCGCCAACGCCGTGCGCGCGATCGAGCCATCGTCACCACCGACCGAATCGCTTCCCTCCCCGAGCGCGCGCACGGCGTCGATCACCGCCCGCGCGTTCGCCCGCGCGAGTTTCGGCGCAAAGTTATACGACGATGGATTATTCAACAAATGATTCCACGCCGTCGTCGTCGACGTCGACGCGGCGTCCCCATCGCGCGCGTCCAGGTCGCTCGTCCCTCGCGTCGGCCCGGACGCGGGCGCGGGCATCGTCGCCGCCGTCGCGCGCGCGCGTGTGCGTCGACGTCGCCGACGACGCACGCGACGCACGACGTCCTATACAGAGGTCTCGCATCCCATGTGCGCGCACGCGTCGTGACGTCCGTAAACGTAGGGTTCAGCGGACATCCCATCGCGGCCGCGTCGCCCCGTCGTCGTCCGCGGCGTCGCCCGCGGCGTCGCGCGCGCGCGCGGAAGAAGTGGGCGTCCGCGGCGTCGTCGTCGGCGTCCGCGCGCGCGAGATGGGGCCCGACGCGAGGACGTGGGATGCGTCGCGGGTGAGCGATGGCGATGCGTCGGCGGCGGCGGTGGACGACGCGCGCGACGCGATGCGCGCGGCGTGCGCGAGAGCTCGCGCGCGGGGGGCGGACGTGCGCGCGAGTGACGCGCGATACGAGTCGATGACGAGCGAGACGTACGCGCGAACGCTGGCGCGGACGCGGGTGGGGATTCGCGCGGCGATTCGCGCGGCGACGGGCGCGAACGCGGACGACGACGACGGCGCGTCGTCGGATGAAGACGGAGAGACGATGTTTGAGGTGATGCGGGATGTTTTGGACGCGCGATGCGATGCGGTGGACGCGTGCGTGATGCTGGCGCGGGGGGATGATGGACGCGGCGCGACGGCGGCGACGGCGGGCGACGCGGGCGGAGGCGCGTCGCGCGGGTCGAGACGGGACGCGACGTCGACGCGACCGCAGGACGCGTTCGAGGATGCGGTGGATAATAGATTAGAGAATCACTCGCACAAGGGATTGATGCGACCGATTGGGTTCGATTCGTACGAGGATTTCGAGCGAAAGGCGCGAGAGGATGCGTATCCCGCCTTTGCGCGGGAGAGCGGCGGGACGACGCTCCCGACGCCGATGGACGACGAACACCCGCTCGTGGTGGTCGACACGGAAGATGCGTTAGAGGAGCTGGCGACGCATTTGGAGCAGTGTAAGGAGTTCGCGGTCGATCTCGAGCATCACTCGTATCGATCCTTCAAAGGTTTCACGTGCCTGATGCAAGTGAGCACGCGCGAGAAGGATTTTGTCGTCGACGTCTTGGCCCTGCGCTCGCTCGTGCGCGATGCGCTGGGGAAAGCGTTCGCGGATCCGAACACGCTCAAGGTGATGCACGGCGCCGATAACGACGTGCAGTGGCTTCAGAAGGATTTCGGCATTTTTGTCTCGTGTCTCTTCGACACCGGACAAGCCGCGCGCGTGCTCGAGCTCCCGAGCAAGGCGTTGGCGTATCTCCTTCAGCACTACTGCGGAATCAAGGCGAACAAAAAGTTTCAGCTCGCCGATTGGCGAGTGCGCCCTCTCACGCGCGAGATGTTGGATTACGCCCGAGGGGACACGCATTACTTGCTGTACGTGTACGACGAGCTAAAAAAGGCGCTCGCGGCGCGAGGAGAAAATTCCATCGCCGCGACGCTCACGCAAAGTCGCGACGTGTGTCTGAAGAAGTACCTCCCACCGACGTTCGACGAGGGCTCGTATTACGAAGATTTGCTCAAGACAAATAACTTGACAAACCTGAACGACCCGCAGTTGGCGGTGTACGCCGCGCTGTTCAAGTGGCGAGACGCCGCGGCGAGAGAAGCCGATGAAAGTCTAGGATACGTCATGCCGCGCGAGCTCATGCTTCGTTTGGCGATCGCCGCGCCATCAACGAAGCGCGCGCTGATGGAGGAGTGTCGAGGACAGGTCCCGCTCATCGCCAAGCACGCCGAGACGGTGGCCGATTTGATTTCTCGAGCGCGCGCCATGGGAGCGCCGAGTTTCAAGCCGTCTCTCGTCGATCCCGTCGACGTGACCGCGGTGAGGACGACGGCGAACGTCACGGAACCGTCGAACGCTACGGGTGTCACCACCAATCTCACGGCGAGCGTCGCGGAGACGACGGAGCAGCCGGAGCGAGCGATGGCTCCCATCGCCTCGGCGCCGACGAACAAGACCAAGCGCAAACGCGGAGGGTCGATGGCGGCACTCATGGGAGGTCACGTGACCACCGCGGCGTCATCGCCCGAGATCATTCCGATGCACGAAATATTCAACGTTTGGGGTGATGATGCGGCCCCGGTGGTGGGGACGAACGCGGTAGCGACGGTAACCGCGGCGCCGAGCGCGGCAACCGCGGCGCCGAAAGTGGAAGACTCGCAGCCCGCGCGACGTGCGGAGATTGAAATACCCGGGTTGGGCATCCGGGTTCCGGCGCCGTTTCGTAAGGCGGGGTCAGATTTGCCGTTCACCATGCTCAGCGCTGAGCCTCACGTCGTGGAGATGTCTCGCGCCGACGAAGCCGCCGCGGCGCGCGCCGAACTCGAGGCGCGCAGAGCGGAACGCATGCGAGGCTACGACGAGAGCGACAGCGACAGCGATAGCGAAGACGCTCGAATCAAGGCGGATCTACTGGCCACGGCGGATAAGTTGAACGATCCTGCAAAACGCGATTCGTTTACGAAGCTCGCGACCGAGCGTTTCGGCGCGTCGGGCATCGAGATGTTCCTGCGCGAGGAGGATCAGGGTCCGAAGAAGGGTTTCAACGAGCGCTTCAAGTCGGTTTACGAGGAGCCTTTCAAGGCTGGACCCAAGAGCAGAGCATTTCCAAGATCGGGAAATAGGTACACGACGTTTGATAAATAGAAAAGCTTTGTATTTTACAAGATTTTTTAGCATCCAGTTAATAAATCCCAAAGGATTCTCGAACGTTGCCAGAGTTGTATGCGCCGAGCTTGGCGACCGATTGCGGTGGCTCGACGTCCTTGTCGTGCGCGTCGTGCACCAAAAACTCGCGAATGATTGATTCGATCTTTTCGCTGACCAGTTCCACCGCGGCGCTCGCCAGGACGCGCTTGTGCCACGTGGAGTTGGTTCGCAAGTCTTCTTCGTAAAACGCCAAACACTCCGCGCCGATGGTGTCCCATAACCCTCTGAGAACGCCAACGAGAGCGCGACGCTGCGGAAGTTTCCTGTCAAGCGATATTCTGATGCCATCGATGTAGGTAAGGATGGGCGCAACGACGGAGTCGACGTCGATATCCTTCTTCGGTTTCGCCTTGACGAGTCTATCCCTCAACGATGGGCCGCATTCGTAGACGCCGCGCACCGCGCGTCGCAAGTATCCGTTGTAATGCGCTCGCAATTCTCCGAGCGTCTCGGTCAATACTCGGCCGAGTTCATCGGCACCGACACTCCCGCCGGCAACCGCCCAGCTCGTCAAACGCTGACCGACCCTGTCTTCCTCCGCGCGACGAATTTCCATTGACTTGAGAGCGTTCAGCGCCGCAGCGAGCGGCGGCGGAATACCGTTGTGCGATGAGTCTCGAGACGTTAGGCGCTTTGAAACTTGCTGAGACATCTGTTGCGTTCGCTTCGCCACGGAGGCGACGCCCTCTTTCATGCGACCGATATTGGTAATCCAGTTGCCCTTTCGCGCGTGCGGCGACTTTGTGTTGTCACCATCCTCATTTGGAATTGCCAAGTGTTCAACCGTCTCCGCGATGTGTTTCATCAGCAATCGTTCAGCACCGGCAAGAACTTGCTCGAGCGCGAGCGCTTGATCGGGCCATCGCGTGACGATTCGTTCGAATCCGTTCAACGCTTCATTCATCGCGATGTAGCACTCATCAATGGCTGGACCAATGACGCCCTTCGAACTCAGCACCGCTTTGCAGCGCATCTCGAGCCGCTTCTTCGCGTGAACAATCCAGCCGTCGATGTGGGATTGCCAAATCGAGCGAGTATCGAGTTTGAGAGCTATGAGTCTTTGTCCCTCTTTCTCTTCTAGAGACGCGCTCGCTTGCAAATGACACGATCGTTCAATGCAATCCAAGACGTCTTTGCAAGGCGGTCCGGGCGGCGCCGCCGCCTCCAACGCATCCTTGAAAGTGGCCGCCACGTCTGTGCAATATATATCAGCCGTGACAGCGGGTAACGAAAACGCTCCGGGAAACGACGAGGCGTTCTGAATCATTCGGTCGATCTCGAGCTCATTCTTCAGTCTTACGCAAAGGTCGCCGATGGCTACGTACAACTGCATGACGAGATCCTTGTTGTTCACCACCAACTTGCGCTTCTCGTTGACTTCGATCGCCTTGTTTCTCTTGAAGCACTGACGAGCGGCGCTCGTCACCTTTTCAACGATGATCTCAAGGGATGCGTTTGAGCTTGGGTCTCGTTGCAGCGCCTTGAACAAGTCCAGAGACACGTAGAGCGCCGGCGCAGGAACGACGGGCGAACCACTCTGCCTGATGCCGTCAAAATCGCACTCGTCCAGCGACTTGTAGTTTTCGAAGCAAATACATACGAGTGTCATCACAGCTGATCGAATACCGTTGAGCATTTGACCTTCGGTTGCGCCGAGCGAGCCCTCGGCTTGTTTTCTCAGAGCCAAGTGCAAGTGCTGTCGAATGAGAGCCAAGCAATCCGCCGTAGGTGTCGCCACGGCTAATAGGTGCTGAATGTAACGCAACGAGGAGTACGTCTCGGTCACAGCGTGACTTCGAGCGAGTTCTGCAAGGAGTACTTCCCACCCACCGTGAACGCGAAGTCGACGCCGAGTGAACCCGAGCGCGCGAAGGGCCGCCGCGAGGGCGAAATCGTACGCGGCCTGAGGCGTGAGTGCTCTGCTCGCTTCTGCCCAACCTTGCGTAGAGCGGTCGGGCGCCGTTCCCGCACCCGGAGGCGCTAAAATCAAACCTGCACCGACCGCCGTCTCGAACACGACGCTCAGTTTCACTTTACCCTTCTCATACGTGTCCTCGTAAGCCGCCGCTTGTTCAGTTGCCGGTACTTGCACGGTGACTGTCAGTGGAAGCTCGACGATTCCAACCTCTGACTTTCTACACAACTCGTCTAGGCCAATCTTCGCGGTGGCAACCTTCTTTTCGAGTGGAATCTCGACGATGAAATCGGTATCATCTCGGCCCAATGCCAGACGCAGTGGCGCCTGTTTCACGGAGAGTTCGACGCACGCGTCGCTACTCCCCTCGCCGCCTTCCGTGCGAATTGTCATGCGCTGCCCACGGGCCTCAGTGGGCCGTTGCCAACCGTGCTGACGCGGATCCCAACCATGAGTGAGCTTTTTGAGTCCTCTATCGATGATCTCGACCTCAGTAGCAGCGACCGTGATCGCTATCCAGCGTCCCCCTCCTGCACCAGCTAGCGCCGCGTGACCGCGGAGCGCGTTGGGCGCCACGAATCCCTTTTCCGGCGTCACTCGAACTTTCGGTTCGGGAGTGCGTGGCATGTCCGAGCCGATGCCAACCAAAACTCCATCTAACCCGAAAGCCCGTCGAAGCTCAGCACATCTGTCGTTGACAAAGTACAAGGCTGTTTGCAAATCAAACTTCTTCTGTCCATCGAATGACGGCGGGTCGAGCGATCGTTCAAGGCACGTCTGCATGCACGCCTCGTAAGCGAGAAGACGGGCCCGCTCCTCACCTAGCCAAGGACCGAGGTAACACTCCGCCGCTGGTGGGAGCTCTGGTCCCTTGCGCTCGAGAGCGAAAATTTTACCCTCCTCGGTGTCTGCTCGAAGCGGTCTGGGCATTGTGGCAACCGGACTACCAAAGTCGCCACCGCGCTTGGACGATGCCTTCGCCGACTCCTTCGTGCGTTTCGTCATCGTTGCTCCAATTTCGTTTGGTACGTTCTCGTATCGGCTCGGGCTTAGCGGCGCCTTGTCGTGAGAGCGCTTCTTCGACACCGACTCTCGCATCGCTGTCGTTGCGGTTGGTGCCACCTGGCGGCTCGGCAGCTGCTCGGCGGCGTGAACGAACGACCCACCCCAAGGATCGACCGAAGCCGTTGCGAAGGATTCGATGGAGCCGTGGATAGACGCGCGGTCGTTTGACGAGCGAACGTCGTCATCGCCTCGCATACCGGGCTCGTTTGTTCTCGTCGAGAGCGCTCGCGCGCTCTTCGCGCCGTCGCCCGTCCGCGCGTTTATTTTGTCCACCTCCTCTCGTACGATCCCCATTTTCGCCGAACGTTTGGCCTCAGCGCGGGATTTCTTCGCCATCGCGCTCAATGACGCGTTCTCCGCTTCCTCCTTCATCGCTCGTGTCTTCGGACGTCCTCGCTCGTTTTCGTCGACGTCTCCATTCTCGCCGCCGTCGCGC